ATAATCTTATTCTCTTTTTGTAATGTCCGTCACTAATCCACAATGAACCATCTAAGGATATTGCTAGTTCATTAACCCATTCTACCTTGGATTGATATGTTTCGACAACAGTCATATTAACCTTTAAAGGAACATTGCTAGAGGAACTCCCAATATCCTTGATCGCTATGATATTATGTTCTTCAGCAGTTTAAATTTTCGGATGAATGTTATTCTTACATGCACAACACATCCGTAAGTCACATTCTAAACATTTCCATGAAATTTTAGGATCCCTTTCACATAACTGACACTGGATTGGAGACTGTATTCCTAATTGTGGTTTGGATAGAGCCATATTGAACAGAACAGAATTTTATTTGTGTAGAATCCAGATATATATTGTCTGAAATAGCTTGTTTTTACCACTTGGTTTTTACTCCTTAGTTTGATAGGGCTTAACTGATATATTGAATTCTTGAAATCCTTAATTTCCTGGTGATAGCCATACTATCTGAATTATTTTTTTATACTTTTAAGGAAATGTTTAACATTAATAAGTGGATATTTATCTGTTAATCTTATCGGATAACCTATTGAACAAAAGGAGATAATTAAATTCCTCCTTGTCATTTTACTCTCATTTAACCATTCAAGCTCAGTCTTTAAAATAAAAAAATAAAACTATAATAAGAAAAATGTTCTTGTGTATAAATTTATTGAATGGTATATTCATATAAGTTAGTTGAAAAAAATATTATTTTATTTATTCCTGAAATTATGTTACTATTGATATATCTGCTTAATCATATTCTGAGTCGGTAGACAAATCTCTTTCATTACATGGATATTTTATACCAAATATCAACCAAGTAGCAAAATTAGCAAACAGTGTAGATTGGCATTGTTTAAACATTAATTTGACCATTTTGTCCTATGGGAATCACTACACATCAGTAAGTCACGCCCCCACAAAAGATGAATGGTCTTTGATGTTCTATATCATGAGAGGTAATTTTGGTAATTTGGAATATAATAAGACTAAATAGATCTGCTTCCCCACCTTTTTCAAGTAAGTTGTTTGTGTGATAAATCACTTCCGTTCTAAAACAGTTGATTTGATTTTAATTTTTTTTAGGAAAAAAAAACTCAATTTATTTGAATCTTTTATATCTTGAGGGGTAATTCTGGTAATTTGGAATATAATAAGACTAAATAAATCTGCTTTCCCACCTTCTTCAAGTAAGTTGTTTGTGTGATAAATCACTTCCGTTCTAAAACAGTTGATTTGATTTTAATTTTTTTTTAGAAAAAAAACCCCAATTTATTTGAATCTTTTATATCTTGAGGGGTAATTCTGGTAATTTGGAATATAATAAGACTAAATAAATCTGCTTCTCCAACTTCTTCTATGTCTTACAAGTAAATTGTTTTTGTGATAATTTAAGAGTTAAACAGTGAATGTTTTATAAACCTACATGATGCAATCGAAAAGTACGTTTGTGTATGTCATCTTTTTATTTGGGGTGATATATATACTTATTTCCTATAGAAACGCAACACATCATATTCCGAGCCCCTTTCTTAATAACAATAAAAAAAGATTTTTGACATAACAGGGACCCTGTTTTTAACAGATCATAACTTATCTAGCCGTATAATACCTCCTCATGTTTCAGGACCCCTATGAATGCTTCATAGATTCATTTGTGGGCTATGGAGTGTTGACTCGTGTAAGCTCGACAATCGATAGGATGGGGGCGAATGGGTTTGGAAGACAGGCAAAGAATTATTTTACATCAGTAGGCTCTATAAGGTGTTGTACTTGCATACTAAAAGGGCTTGTACATATGATAACACTAGCTCATGAAACAGTGTTTATGTGCCATTCCAAAACAATCTGATGGAAATAAAGATCCTGCATACATGCCTCTCTTACATGGATCTAATATAGTTCTCATCTACTTTCTAATAATTATTACATCAACCAATGAAATTTCTGCATCCAAATTTTCCAATGTACCATTAAGTATCATTACAACTAATTCCAAAGGATCTTGAAAAGAAAGTAAAAGAGCATTTTCAGAACTGAGTTAGTGATGTGTGGACTCGGGATCTGGATTTTAATTGTTTTTATTAGTGTTTACGATTTAAAATACACCTTTTCGTCATTTGTATGCCATTACTGTTGATCATAGATGCTCTTGATTAGTTTGTGATTTTTGTCAAATATTTAGTTTTTTTCTGTTAAATTGATTCACAAAATTTGTCTTGAATCATGGAGATTCAAACATTTGGAGTTGAACAGCTGTCCACCATTGAAAATCATTTTCTTCATGTTCGACAATTTTGGTAATGGTGGCAACATTTATTTGATAAGATCCTTTGAACAAATCTATTTTATGCCCAATGGTTAATAAAAAGTCAAAAGAACCTAAGACAAGAGGCTCTCAAGAGCCTGAATCGCTCACCTGTATTTCAGAGGAGAAGATTTTTAAATGTTAGCAAACTTGATGAACAAATTGTGTAAAATTGTCTTTAAAGGGCAATAACTCCTTAAGGGGTCAATTGACAATTTTGATCATAATAACTTTTTTGTAGATCTTACTTTGCTGAACATTATTGCTGCTTACAGTTTATATATATCTATAATAATATTCAAAATAATAACAAAAAACTGCAAAATTTTGTTAAAACTGCCAATTTGGTGGCAGCAACCCAACAATGGGTTGTTCGATTCGTCTGATAATTTCAGGGCCGAAAGATCTTGACCAATTAAACAATTTTACCCCATGTCACATTTGCTCTAAAAGATTTAGTTTTTGAGATATAAGCCAAAAACTGCATTTGACCCTTATGTTCTATTTTTTGCCATGGCGGCCATGTTTGTCGATGGATACAAACTTCGGATACAATTTATAAACAAGATACTCTAAGGAATATTTAGTTAAAGTTTGAAGGTAATTGGCCCAGTAGTTTCAGAGGAGAATATTTTTAAATGTTAGCAAACTTGATGAACAAATTGTGTAAAATTGTCTTTAAAGGGCAATAACTCCTTAAGGGGTCAATTGACAATTATGGTCATATTAACTTTTTTGTAGATCTTACTTTGCTGAACATTATTGCTGCTTACAGTTTATATATATCTATAATAATATTCAAAATAATAACAAAAAACTTCAAAATTTTGTTAAAACTACCTATTTGGTGGCAGCAACCCAACAATGGGTTGTTCGATTCGTCTGAAAATTTCAGAGCTGATAGATCTTGACCAATTGAACAATTTTACCACATGTCAGATTTGCTCTAAAAGCTTTAGTTTTTGAGATATAAGCCAAAAACTGCATTTGACCCCTATGTTCTATTTTTAGCCATGGTGGCCATGTTTGTCAATGGATCAAAACTTCGGATACAATTTATAAACTGGATACCCTAAGGAACATTTAGTTAAAGTTTGAAGGTATTTGGGCCAGTAGTTTCAGAGAAGATTTTTGAAATAGTTTACGACGACAGACGACGACGACAACAGACGATGACGACAGACGACGACAGTTGTCAAGTGATGGCATAATCTCACATGGGGCCCTTTGGGCCCCGGTGAGCTAATAAAAATCAAAGCTGAAGGGGGACAAACAACTCAATGCCAATAAAATGCTCTGCAGGGCGCAGCTTGATACGACCGCAGAGGTCGAACCCTGAACAGTTGGGGCAAGTATGGACACAACATTCAAGCTTGATACAGCTCTGAATTTGGATTGTGATTAAATATTTGACACAGCATAGGTTTCTGACACAGAATGAATGTGGTCTAAGAACTTAAAAATTTTAAATTGGACATTCACCTATTATGGTCCAATATCCAAAATCTAAATACATGGTTAGATTCAGCATATCAAAGAACCCCAAGAATTCAATTTTTGATGAAATCAAACAAAGTTTAATTATGGACCCTTTTGCCCTAAATGTGGACAAAGTTGATAAAGGGGCCCAAAAATCAAAAATCTAAATACATGGTTAGATTCAGCATATCAAAGAACCCCATATATTCAATTTTTGTTGAAATCAAACAAAGTTTAATTTTGGACCCCGATTTGGACCAACATGAAAACTGGGCCCATAATCAAAAATCTAAATACATGTTTAGATTCAGCATATCAAAGAACCCTAAGAATTCAATTTTTGTTAAAATCAAACTAAGTTTAATTTTGGCAACGTCATACCAATATACGACCGCAAAATTTTTGCGGTTGTATAAAAAATAAAAGAAGAAACAAGTCCTTAAAAATACTGTCTTACTGTGACCTTGAGATAAAGAACAGCAATAAAAGCGCTGTTCCTCTGCTTTTTGTTTTTTAATAAGATATACTGATTTTGTGTCGTGGATGGATACCCCATATTCTTCCTTTTCTATTACACAAAAAACTAAAGGTTGAGCAATGTGAATCCAACCCCAAAAACAGGGATGAATGTGCACCAAGAAAGCTCAACTGGTGGTAGCCACTGTAATTCAGGTGAGATATGCTTCAACATACCCCCATCCACCCCCTCCCTCCCACGTTGTGATTTTAGAGATCTTTAAAAGGTATATTCTCTTTTTTTATTCAATGTGCTTTAGAGGAACCAATCTTGCTCTTTAAAGTTTTAAGATGGTATTCTGAAAGTGAACCACCATAGAACAGTCTCCATCAAATCTTGTTCAAATTGGTCAATTGGAATCTGAACTCTGGGTATAATTTTTCAAACATTTTCTATTTCACAGGCTGTTTAGGATGGCCAACTGAAGGACTCCAACATATTTCAGACAGGCCTGCCAAAGGATCATTTGGTCCTTGCAGGTTTAGTAATCAAAGTTGTCAAAAATCAGTGACAACTTGAAAAGAAGACCCCTAAAGAAGATTCTAGCTAAGTAAAGTGCAAATCAGAAGAGAAGAATTTTGAAGTTTAATAATAAGTGTTGACAATTACAGATCTAATGGGCCTTTCAGTGCAAGGGGAGCTAAAAATGGAACATAAATGACAAATATGTATGTAAGCTTTTATTAACAAACATAACAATTTTATAAACTGTATCTATTACAAAACGAAGATAAAAGTTCTGTAAATCGAACAAAAATATTCATTAAGATTCGTATCATCTTATAAAACATTTTTATATGACTAAAAACAAAGGAGATATGATAAGAGTCATTATTTGGCAACTGAAATTTAAAAAATATTAAAATTAATTAGACTTTCAAAATTATATTAATTGTACTTGACGCTCGGTATTTTTTGTTAAACTTTTTTGTTGATTTATTTTCAATTTTAAGTGGCCATATCATACCTTTCCTTTGTTGACTATAATAAGGTGGGAAAATGAACATGTGCTACTTTAAAAGTTTTACATGCATCTTGATTCTGCTGTGTCATAATTGTAAAAAATATCTTTTGATTAGAAAAAAAAAAGCAATAGCTAACCCAGAACAAGTGAGCTAAAAACTATGGGTATGTTGCAAACAAAATCTTCATCATATTTATAAAGAAAACACTAAATAAATATAAATAAAACAGAAAATGCAAAACATTCCACATACAATTCTGAAACATGAAATGAACACAAAAGGACATGTAAAGAATTATATAAATTAGGAATGTAAAATGTAGGTTACAGCTACCAATTTTTCATATCTAATTTGACTAAATTGTCAAGAACTGGTAAAGTGTAAAAGATATTGTTACTTTACAAGCCATAGTACTTGTATGTGTTAAATTTTAAAAAATCTACAGATTGCAATAAGTCTGTATTTATCACTTGGTCCTTAAAAAAAGTCCATTAAAAATTGAAATGATTATATACAAAACTTAGTAAGCACAAAAAGTATAAGCATATTGAATGATGAAAAGTGGTCAAAGCCAAGTAACTGAATTTAGATAACACACACAACTAAACTGATGATATGGACCATTTATATCACAATAAAGAACTAGGTATTGGCCTAATCATGAACATTCAAAGTCGACTTAAGTAAGTCATTGATTAAACCATGAACATGAGGTTGAGAACAATAGACATATGCCAAGCACATAGACAACTATCACATTCCTGCATTTTCGTCTCATTTCACAATCCTACTGTTCTCATGTCACAGCAAGAGTCTATTGTTCAATTACTTCAAATTTCGACATTCACGCCAATTGACCACTGATCAACGGGTGTAACTCATTCATAAAAAAAACCCATTTGAGATTGGTCTATACTATAGGAAATATCTAGCTCAATACTGTTAATTCAGAAATTATTGCAAGGTTTTTATTAATTGGAATAATGCAACTACTTGAGTATTGCAATAATAAGAACCCGCTTTCTGATTTCATGTATCTGTATGTAGCTTTTCCTAAAATCACATTAATCAAACTCGAATTTTTGTTCTTTCTTAAAAAATCCCAATAATAAATGCACGCAATAATTTCCGTATTTACAGTAATTAGTTCAAGATGTCACTAATGCATTAGAATACCTATATCTTGCATTCTGTGACAGTCGTAACAACATAATAAAAACAATAAAGCCTTACAAAACATTACATGTATTTTAATAATTACAAAACAGAACATGTAAAACAGTTTATATGATATGAGATTCATCAGCATACATTTTAAATACATAGTAAACAAGAATGTGTCCATAGTACACGGATGCCCCAATCGCACTATCATTTTCTATGTTCAGTGGACTATGAAATTGGGGTCAAAACTCTAATTTGGCATTCAAATTAGAAAGATCATATCATAGGGAACATGTGTACTAAGTTTCAAGTTGATTGGACTTCAACTTCATCAAAAACTAACTTGACCAAAAACTTTAACCTGAAGAGGGACAGATGGACAAACGAACGGACGCAGACCGAAAAACAAAATGCCCCTCTTCTATCGTAGGTGGGGCATAAAAATACAAAACAGATTACAGATAGTTGCTACTGCTACTTCAAAGGCTGTGTTTCCTAAATTTATAGTTTTAATATGATTACAGCAGTATATAGAATAAATAAAAAATGTGGAAAAAAAACTATGAAATATCTATGAGCTTGACATTCAATGTAAAAGGATTAAAGAAATCTACTAATACTAAAAATAATCTGGGTTCTTACCAAAGATTTTTGTAGGATAGCCCAGACCTCACCATTTTTGCCCATGGCAAACAGTGAGAAAAAAAAAATGTTTTCATTATGATTTATTATCCATCAAGTCTCCATGACAAAAAGAGCAAGGAAATTATACCAAATTTAGATTAATTCTTAAAACTTTTGCTATAAAATGATGAAACCCTGGCTAAGCAGATACAACATTGTGCAATCTTGATACATCTTTGGACTCACAAGTTAAGAAAATGATGAGTCTAGACAGATTTTATAATATAATCAAGAATGGAAATGGGAATATGTCAAAGAGAAAACAGCTCGACCAAAGAGCAGAAAACAGCCCAAGGCCACTAATGCAGTGAGAAAGACCTGCACCCAGAGGCTAGCTTCAGCTGGCCCCTAAATTCCAGGACTCATCTTAGTGAAAACCCTGATAATAGCAGAAAAATAACAAACAGATGATAATTTAATTAATAAACATGGAAGAGAGATTTCATAATATTTTGCAAATTGTGTATTGAAAAGTCAGGAAGATTTGCAAATTATCAGGAAAAAGTGAAACTGCAAGATTCAATACATCCTTCACAAAAGATTTCTTTAAATAGAATGTATTTTAAAAATTCAGATTAGCAGATAAAGACCTCTCCCATTTGAGGAATTCAGTATAAAAATATATTACTGCAGATTTAAAATTTACTTTTCTCTGAGGAAATATCTTTGACAGGTGGAAGGACCTTTTTTGGATGTTCGGATTTGACCTTAGCGGGAATTGGGGATTAACACTTATCGGGACTCTGGAATTATTTTTCGATATCAGGGAAAAAATGCTTTATTTTTTCTGGAGTTCAGGATTCAGGGTGTTTTTTTTTTACAGGAATTTGGGATGACACCTCTCCTACCATACCCCCCGCCATATATCTTACATAGAAAATATTTCAAATGACAACAGTATAAGGTATAAAATGCAGATTAACAAATGTAAATTGAGATATTATATAAATTAATTTTAATAAAACAATACTATGCCCCAAAAAAAACAAAAAAAAGATTTAAAAATAAAAAAACTGAAATTTTATGTTTTAACAAAAAAATATTACAAAAAATGTTTAAGCATACCATTAACATCTTTTAAAATTAACTAATATTGGGACGTACAGATGGACAAGGGTATAACTTAAAGCCCCCCTCCTCCACTGCGGTATAATTTGCATTATACATTCTTGGCAAAATATATCTTTACCCTTGTTTTTTGTACATAATCTAACAGTCTAGTTAAATGCATATATGGTTGTCTTTATAAAAACATATTATTCTAATACTACATGTGATTAAAATTCAGTCATTAGAGTTCTACAATGGTTGTCTCTACCTTAGCAAACAATCAAAATCATTGAACCCTGTCTACACTAAAACCTACCTAAAGAGATAACCTGCCAAAGGTCACCTTTGTATTAGGATATACTATGAATATTCTTTTGTAAATCAACACATCCTTTTATCTGAACATAATATTTCAATTTATGAAATGGTCTGGTTTAGATATGTTTAAGTTTCCTTGTACTATAATATTTTACCTTTCAAGATTTTCATTAATTGTACAAAAATAAAGACTCAACATAAACAAATATAAAATGAAAATATCACAGACAGTCTTACAACATTATCATCTGAGTATTCTATGAGATTAATTTTTGACACTTTTGCCCGTTTTTAAAAATGTAAATGTTAATTTGAGTACAAATTTTGATTGAAAGTCATTGAAGTATGTTTCAGGTTTTTTCACAAAGAAGTAGTACGTTAAAATATTTACGATACACAAAATATGTTCGGAATCCGTAGAAATGAATTCTGTTTTCAGCGTTGAAGTTTCCTAACATTCATCCAACAGGAGAGTTGTTCTCTAATGGATTATATCTAAGTTGACCTGCTTTTACTCTTCTTTTTAATTCTTTCCACAATAGAGATTTCTCTTTCTGCACTTTTTTTAGTATTCCTTTATTTTCCATTGCTCTGCGAGACAAATATGGCAGAACTTCTTCCACAGGACCATAGGGCACGTACTTGTACACTGAATAGCCAGCTTGACCTATATAAAAAAAAAAAATGTAAACATGAAATCCTTCTAAATAGCCAGTGCTATTAGCTCATATAGCAAAAGGTAAATTAAGAAAAAGGAAAGTAAAATTACTACAATCTGAAGATGAGTAATGTTCTTATGAGTGCCATAAGATTGTGTTTTTCTGATGTTGTTCCCACATCTTCAAAGTGTTTTGCTGCTTAACATTTTGGACATAATACTGTGTTTCTAAAAGTCAATCTTGCAGTACCAATATATTGGCAATGGACAATATAAAAATAAGTAGATGTGGTATGATTGCCAATGAGACAATTATCCACCAAAGTTCAAATGAAGTGGATGTAAGCAATTATAGGCAACTGTATGGCCTTCAACAATGAGAAAAACCCATACCCTTTAGTCGAGTAAAATAAGCCCAGACATGAAAAATATGAAACAATTCAATTGAGAAAACTAACAGCCTAATTTATAACAAACCAATTTACGAAATAAAAAAATCACAGACATGAACCAATGACAATTACTGAACTACAGGCTCCTGACTTGGGACAGGCACATAAAGAATGTGGCGGGGTTAAACATTTTTCCTTTAAAGTAAATGTAACTGCTGAGTTTCTCCTGTAAGCAATTTTTAGTTCATAGTAAACCAATACAAGTCTGAAGTATAAAGATAATCAAAGTGCTTGTAAGCACTGAAGGGTAAAAATTGCTTTAATTTGTCAGTGGGAAGTAAAATTAAAACTTGCATTGTATAAAGCATTGGTTGTAGTTGATTCAACTACAATTCTAGACAAAGGAAGATAACTCCAATTTTTAAAGATGACGTTAACAATGACATCATTGATATTTTTAGAACAGATATTAGATTCCTGCACCTTGCAAAAGTTATGTGATTTTCTTGACAAGTATAACATCATTTTGTAACTTGAATACATTGATAAATTTCTGGAAATGTTCATGGATGGGATGTATAGAATGTTATGATCAATGCACTATATTTTATGTATCTCAAAGGTAGTGATAAACCTTGGAAGATTTAGATATCAAGTTGGTACCATAGGGTTTTGATTGCATTTTATGCAATCTTTACCCAAAAACATTTATATAACCACCAAGGTATACCTGGTATGTTCATGTGCTAGGTAAATCCACCAAAAGGATTAGACTTTAGTTTTCCCTATTTACACCTAAAATGGGCATCCTGTCGATTGTTGAAAACTGTATATTGACCTCTAGATCTTTTGGTTTATCTACTTTGTTGGGTTGCTGTCTCATTGATGTATACCTCCAAACTCCCTTTATACATGTCAATCCGTTGAAAAAGGGGCAAATCTGTTTGATTAGATCAATCGAAAGATAACAGAATTTATATTATATATATTAAATATATATATTCCCTTCCAACTGCCCATTTCAAGAACTACAAAATTTACAGTGGATTCATTTATATTCGTGGGATACCAATTTTTCGTGGATTTCATGGGTACAGGTAAACAACAAATATATACTTTCAATGAAGTGTAAATTATCTATTGGCTTGTAAGAAGACTTCAGCAAAACCACAAAAATCAAATGTAAAATAAATACAATTTTTTCCCAATCCACAGAAATTAATATCCACGAAAATAAATGATCCACAGTAATTATGTGTTGTGGATTTATTACTATTGTTGGTATCAATTTTCATGGTCCAAGAATTTCTATTTCAAAGGTACCTTATATAATGGTCACCATCTACTCCTTTAAAAAGTAACTAAGAATTTGTAATTCGTTGAAAATACAAATTCATGGTTTTCCTCTCAACCTAATTCACAAACAAGAATTTGTCCATAGTACACGGATGCCCCACTCGCACTATCATTTTCTATGTTCAGTGGACCGTGGAATTGGTGTCAAAACTCTTATTTGGCATTAAAAGTAGAAAGATCAATGACATCATCATATCATAGGGAACATGTGTACTAAGTTTCAAGTTGATTGGACTTCAACTTCATCAAAAACTACCTTGACCAAAAACTTTAACCAAAAACTTTAACCTGAAGCGGGACAGGCAGACGGACGAACGAATGGACACACAGACCGAAAAACATAATGCCCATAAATGGGGCATAAAAATTGGTATCCAACCATATTAATGAACACAAAGTATATATTGTTAAACTCTCATCATACAAGGTACTAACCTAATGGAAAGCTGACTTGATCACACATGCCCAACAGCTGTCCAAAACAGATTAGCCTGTCAGATGGCTTGATATCATATCTATCCATGCTACAAAATAAATACACATTTGAAAGAATAAATCAGGACACAACAGTTCATCCGAATGGAGGTATTATTATTTCGGAGCCACATGTTTCTGTGTTCTTAACGCCATCATCAGGATAAATACACTGAGTATTTTTTTCCCTGAAGAACTAAAGTCAGGTCATAATAGTTTCAACAGATAGTAAATTTCATCAATGAGTGTTTTTGTAAAATGTAAAAATAAAACAAAAATCTGTTGTAATAAATTTGAAAAAACAAGAATACAATACAAGTGAAGTGTTGTTGTGCTAAGCATACCTTCATTTGTAATTCCAAGTAACGGAAAACAGTAAGTAGCTGTCCACAGATCCAAAAAAGTGAACAATGTTACAACTCATCTTTGTTGCGCTGTTAACCAAATTTAAAGTATTTTTTTCAGTAGAACTTGAGGCAAAGTGTGATGAGAAATTTAAAGTTTATTCAACATATTGAAAATTACGCCATGCCAGTGGCGGTTCCAGAAATTTTCATAAGGGGAGGCCCACTGACTGCCCTATGCGTTATGATGTTGCGTCATAGTCCCAGACTAGGGGAGGGTTGGTCGCCTGCTTACATGCTTAACCTGACATGGAGCTTGTAATTCTGTGGTTGTTGTTTGTTACTGTATATCATATTTGTATTTAGCTGATTGTTTTACACATAAATCAGGCCATTAGTTTTCTTGTTTGAATTGTTTTACATTTGTCATTTCAGAAACTTTTATAGTTTGCTAATAGTTGCTGAGATCTACATCATTTGATCTCCTGGAGAGTGGTCTCATGGGCAATCATACCACATCTTCTTATTTGATATTTATATAATACGAGATTTTAACCCTAAATGATGAGACTACTACCACATATGATTTCAGTGGTTTAAAAGAGAAGGTTTGTATGATATCACAACATGGCAATACACATACCCTTCTACAGCAAATCGAACAGTATCTTCATTATGACTTGCCACCATAACAGCGATTTGTCCCAATGGTCTTTGTTTTATCTGGTAAAAGACTTCCTCCAGGCAAGCATGATACATGTCTGAGGTAGCATGATAATTAGGATTTATTGGATCTTCATAACCAACAGAGGCAGCTCTTTCTCTCTCCTTTGAAAATTTAAACATGGCAAATCATACTGTATTTAGAAATTATTGCTTTTATTATTGCAATTTTTAAAGAATGGACAAAAATACGAAATTAATTACTGCAATTTCATGAAAAATTGCATATATGTATCAGATATCAGAATGTGAGTTTTTATTATTGCTATACTTACCCAGTAGCATTATTCCCATTAATGAAATCATCTCAATAATTTCTTAATTTAAATATTTAAAACCTAGGGTCTCTTAAATATTTGATTTTTTTTTGTAAATGGCAATGGCCTCAAAATGTTTAAATTAATGCAGTATTGAACATGTTGCATTTTGTTATCTAATTAGGTTCATTTTAAATTTAAAACTTACAATCTATATAAAAATCAAACATGAAAAAAATTCATTTTTGTTTTACTTTTTTTAGTCCACAGCAATGAAATACCCAGCATTATAATATAAAGAGATCTGGTACCTTACGGCCTTCAACAATGAGAAAAATCCAAACCAAATAGTCTGCCATAAAAGGCCCTGACATGAAAAATATGAAGTATTTGCATTTGTTTGGTCTTTTTTTTATCTTCTAAAGTTTTAGATTTTAATTATGTAAGGTATTTATTAAATATTCTTCAATAGTACATAGAGCTAATAGTTACCATTATATGATCAATTATTTATATATTTATATATATAGATACTATGATTTCATGTTATTGTGGCGCAAAATTATTATGATGTCATAACATTACCAAGGATCTAAATGTATAACATCTTAATGATTGTGAAAGTGAAATGTCTACCATATAAGAAGGATAATAAAGAAACTGAAGAAGGCCAGTGGCCGAAATGTCTAAAATATGGTTTAATTACTACAATAATGAAATATGTGTTCCCTATTAGAATTTCAAAATGACAATTTTTTATAATAAACAATAAAAAACATACCCATTTTTGTGAGAAAAAAAGTTTGTAAAATTTTGTACAGGAATGTAATTTTTTTGCACTAAGGTATTCAGTCATTCAAAAGTCACTTGTATTCACTCAGTTTTCCCTTGTAATTTTTTTTTTACATAATTTGTGTATAGAAATTAGGGCATAAACAGTGTAGACTATACCTGTTCCATGTACGCTCCTCTAACAAGTTTTGCTCCAAACTGAAATTTTTCTCTCCTTGATAAATCTAAATCCACTTTTAAATTCGTCAATGCACTCTGTGAAGAAAAAGAAAGATATTATATACATATGCTATAATTTTCAGAAAGCTGCTATTATAAAGACTGAATGCTATATAGGAAATCACAGAGCTTTCAACCAAATTAGAACAAAGTAATTTTATATCATGCTACATTACAGCCTGCATTTAGGAGTAAGTACTAAAACTTAGATCAGAAAACTTTACAATACACAGGACTTATACTTTCTAATTCAACTTCTGTCCTGAAACATAATTAAAGATTGGAACCTACTACCTCCGTATATCAGCACTAAGAAGCAAGTCATGGAAGAACCAGCTAAGCTATTCACAGAAATTTAAATTGGTTCCAAGTTGTCAGTTATTAACCTTCACACACACATAATGTAGTAATGTCCAAGAACGTGACATCATATACAATCAATATCAAGATCAAGACAATGTTATTAATATAAATTAACTAGATAGTTACTTAAATCAAAGCATGGGAGTGCTGGAAAGGCAGCTTCTCTCTACGAAATGTTTTTGTTTTCCATCGTTATGTAATTGAATTACACCTAACACAAGACTATAATGATCAAGTTCAAATGATTTACTTCATCATTTAAAAACTTTTCAGAACAGGCTATAGACAGTTGATATTTAAATTGGACCTTTGCTGCTCAATTTATTATGCAATTGGCATGTGTGCAAGTGTCCCCCTTTTATAAACAAGTACAAAATATATCCTTAATGGCAAGATATGAAATTATTCCATAACAAATAACCAAAAGGCCAGACTAATGGACATGGCATTCCCTAGCATCTTAATGTTAGGAGCATACAATATTACCTTTAAATAAGTCTGATATGTATTGAAGACTATTGCTTTTTCCTTGTTAAATTTTCTCATCATTTCAATAACTATACGACTTATTGCTGGCTGGAAATAGGTTTGTTCTGCATCCACCATTACTCTCACATCTTTTTCTTTTGCATACTGTAAAGAAATAAATGTGATTCATAAAGAAAATAATTTTTGCCCTTCATTAATTCTCATTTGATCACAAGACAATCCCTACAGGTATCTTAGAAATTTGAGCTTATTTCAAATAAAAAGATGCCAATATGGTAGAGGGTTGGGCATCTGTTAACAAGTTTAACCCTGCCACATTCTGTATGTGCCTTTCCCAAGTCAGGAGTCCGTCATTCAGTGGTTGTCGATTGTTGCTGTATATTATATTTGTTTTTTTGTTTTGTACATAAATCAGGCCATTGGTTTTTTCCTTTGAATTGTTTTACATTTGTCATTTTGGGGCCTTTTATAGCTTGGTTTGCTCATTGTTGAAGGCTTGTAAGGTGACTAGTAGCTGCCAACCTTCTATGTCATTTGGTCTCTGGTGGAGAGTTGTCTCATTAGCAATCATACCATATCTTCTTATTTTTATACACACAAAATGTCTCCCTCTCCATCCTGAATGAATGGTATGTTGAGCAGAGGGGTAAGTGGGCAAAACATCAACATCAAAAAGTTGCCAGAAAAATCCAGAAATAAATATGTGCTCAAAATGTCCAACAGGCATTAGATTTTACAAATACTAACTTATATATTCAGGACTAATGAATTTGCTTACATCCACTTCATTGAACTTTGGTAGATAGATGTCTTCTTGCAATCATACCACATCTTATTTTATATTGGTAATGAATTTAATTAGTAAGAACCATAAAACTGTACATGTCTAAGTTACCTTCACTATAGTATTTAATCTTTTTAACATGTTTTTCAACTGTTCATCTTCCTCGTCTGTTAAACCTTCCATCATTTGTTCTGGTATTCCTGTCTGAAATAAGTATTGCATGTAGATCGATTCATTTATAATTGTAATATCAATTTTGGTGTATTAATATGATATAAACAAATGCCACCTAATCTTATTATGGTAACATAAGAGACCTTTTTACAATTAGCAACTTTGTTTCTGATTTTAGAATGTGTTGCAAAGCGAAACAACACCTGGGATTAACAAAACTGTATCCTGCCTATACAGAGCAAGTGGAACAAGCATGGTGCATTGTGCATGATCTGACAATAAATTTGATTTCATAAGTTCATTACCAATTTACTGTAAATAATTGAATTGCAAAATAGGTAATTATGCATAGAAAATTCATAAAAGCTTATGTACATCAAAACCCTCAAAACATGCTCTTTACATACAGTTTGTATAGACAGGGATACAGTTTGTCCTACATATGTATGGTTTTTCCTTTTGCAAAATATTCTAAAATTGGAAACATGGTTGGTAATTGCAAAATGGACTATTGCAGAATAATTTACATATCATGGTTAACATCAATGGTACACTAAGGAAACCTGATACAAGTAAAGTGAGTTAGAGGTGTCACAGACAGACAAAATGGAAGCACTATTTCCTTGATCTACATGATTTAAAATGTGATGGCTTTCTATCCATTTAGTGGTGAGTCTGTTGACTCTAAACTGGTATCCATTCTTCCAATACTAGCAATAATTCAAAAGAAGTGCAAGTTTCCTGGAATGGGATTAGTGTAGGAAATGTTCTAAAAGTCATTCTCTCTATTATGGATAACAAACGTCATTAGGGTGGTTCCTGAATTAATTGTATGGAGAGGTTGGAAGTCACTTCTATACTTTCATTAAATTTTTTCATGGCTGGTGGTTAGTTTAGAAAGACATGAACAATTATAGGAAATAATCAATTAAAATATTATGCATATAGCTGGGTAAAATAAAAAGTACCTTCAAACCCCCAACCCCATACATCTCTGTAACTGCCCTTGAGGGTGATTGGTGATTTGGATAATTGAAAATCTAGTATCCATTCTTCCAATTCTAGCCAATTATCAACAGAAAGGTCAGGCCATTAGAGTGAAGTAACTGCAGGAAGTGATTAACATCAGTGCCTATAATAGATAACTAACCTCTTTATTAGGGACGATCAGTAATTTACACAATTGTAGATTTTTTTCAAGTAGATTATCCCAGTCCCATAAGTCTACTTCACTGAAATATTCAGAGTTGTATATAAATTACACAGAGAACAATAACTCATGGAAAATGAGCAAAATAAATGTACAATTTAAAAATGATCCTTAATTAGAATTTATTGATCAATATTGTCTTTTTGCAAAATATTTATTTATTATTATTTTAACAACTTTTAATTATACAAGCCGATCAAATAAATTTGATATCAAAACAAACTTAAGGAATAAATTTGAGAACTGTCTGTCCTATCAGCCAAATTTCATAGGGTCCACCATTTTAATGTTTTGCGTGTGTTTAACTTTTTGACTTTGTAGCAATCTGTTTGAAATACTAATCCCGTGTTCATGCTTCACTTACAAGGATCTGACAATAGATATAAGAAGATGTGGTATGATTGCCAATGAGACAACTCTCCATCCAAGTCACAATTTGTAATAGTAAACCATTATAGGTCAAAGTACGGCCTTCAACACAGAGCCTTGGCTCACACCAAACAGCAAGCTATAAAGGGTCCCAAAAATGACTAGTGTAAAACCATTCAAACAGGAAAACCAACGGTCTAATCTATATATTATAAATAACGAGAAACGAGAAACACTTATGAACTACATCAACAAACGACAACCACTAAACATCAGGTTCCTGACTTAGGACAGGTGCAAACAAATGCAGCGGGTTTAAACGTTTTAATAGATGCCAACCTTCACCCTAACCTGAAACAACATAGAAAGACACACTATAAAGTATCAATTAAAATGGCTTAAATCAATCAAAAGACATATTAACAAAAACAAGTGAACATACACTGAATGAATAAATTTGATCTATGACACAATGTAAATACAAAATTAATAACATCCCTTTCTAATTTCAGCTTTCGATATCTCTCTGAATCCTCTGGATTTGTCATGATGATACACACCTTCACCAATATGAAGGCTGAAATTTCATTGGCTGGTGTAATAATTATCAGAGCAGAAAGTAAAATGTAGTGTTGTCAGATCCTTGTAAGCAAAGCTTGGTCACAGGATCTGTATATTAATCAGATTGGCTTTGTATGGACGAAAGTTGTTAAGTAACATTGTTGCTACAACATTGAGTAGTTAGTCAAATCATAGGGTTTCCAGTTCTACCTTTAATATTTTTCATTAGAAGTCTTAATAATGAGACCATTTAAAGACATTTCCATGGTTTTGGGGACCATCAAGTTTGCTAAGGGAGCAAGACCAGGAAAAAAGCTGTAATTCATGGACTGTTTTGTATTTTCATTCCGTTTTTTTTTTTTTTTAATTTTAAGCATTATATCTCATTACTATTTCAAAAATGAAAGACCAATAAATTTGCATTCTGTTAGTCCTGAAAAATTGGATTTTTGAGAACTCTGTATTTAATTTTAAACATAGTTTATCCTCTTACTGAATATCACAAAAACACTTACCCATCTTGTGATATATCCAGAATAGAGAACCACCGTTTTGTTTGGTCCCTAGATATTGGTACACCCATCACGTCTAATGTTTTCTGGAAATCTTCCTGACGGAACTTCTTTAAAAGTATGTCGCCTTCCCCAGCAAACTTCTCAAACAGATTTCTTGTTGTAACCAATAAATCTGACAACTGAAGCTATAGAAATAATAGATTCTATTACTTACCATGTACTTGCATGAAATATCACACTATGCAAAGGGTGTCTTTCGTAGCTTCTTTTTTCCCTATGTACAGTAACTTCAGAGATTTATCATTATTGGGATGTTTTTATGAATGTGATAAATGCATTTGAAACCTACTTGTTTGAAATTTCATACAATGATTAAAATTATTATAAAGACAATTGAATAGTATGCCATCATTTTTTCTGGCAGGTGTCACATATAAAGTTTGCACCGTCTTGTTAACTGTATTGCTTCTGTCAAGTTAATGACAATAAAATAAGTTTACCTACCAAGAATTGAGGTCTGCCCAAGGCTGTCAGTTTGATGGCAACAAAACCTGTACTTTTAGTTGAACCTGAAAAACAAAAGTCTCGTTATGAAGATATAATCACACCAAATTTTGTATAATGTGTTTAACATACAAGAATTTCTCTTAATTGTAACATTATCATATCTTATTTTTGACCTGGTTTATTTTTCAAAACAATCCATGTAATCTTAAATAAATAAACAATACATTTATTTTTTTTTTATCAAAGGAGTAAGTTCATGAAGGGTTAAATTTGTCCCTACAATTTTGATGGTTTTTTAATCAAACCAAAATACTACAAAATTCATGTAGAAATAGTTGTTATATAACTATTTATACAAAATAACTCCTTTTTGGCACATCACATTAAAAATGATGAAGAAATGAACCCTCAAGTATGCATTATTTGTGTTGTATTAATGTCAGTTTTTGTCAAATTTTCAATAATTCTTAACAGTTTTTAAAAAGAAATTTACTTTGGCCGCCACCCTGATCCAGAAAGTTTTAGTTTAGATTCAATATCATCACTGGCAACTTTTGGTCACAGAACATTTTGGATCCAAGGTTGCGACCAAGGGTTTCCTCAAGCTTATAGGTCCGAAAAAGGCACGTAACCATCGTTTTTTTGACAATATATCCAAAATTTGCTGACTTTGAAGCCTAGAACGTGCTCTTATGAAGAGATTTGACTAACCTAGTAGTAAAGCTATTGAAATAGATCCATTTAAGAACCAAATTATGGCCATTTTGAAATTTTATGATAAAAGTTGAAATTCAAGGCCATATTTGGTCTTAAGTGAACCTTGTCCTTTAATATACAGAAATCAAAATGTATGTCTAAGATATTCAAAGTGTTTAGCCAATACTTTAATTTTACTAGAGTTTGCACACCAGATTAATAGGCTATACCTTATACCATTTTAATATTAACATCTAAAAGGGGTAGGAGGGGGTCTCATCCCAAATTCCTGAAAAAATAAATGCCAAATCCAGAATTCTGTGAAAATAATGTATCTGTTCCCTCATCATGATAAAAATAAATCCCAAAATTCCTGCAATTTAACTTAATATTCCTGAATTCCTGCAATTTAACTTACTATTCCTGAATTCTTGCAATTTAACTTACTATTCCTGAATTCCTGCGATTTAACTAACTATTCCCGAAGTACAACAAATTAAACAGCTCAATCCTGAATTCAAGAAAAAGGTCCTTCCGCCTCTCAACTGAGCCTTGCCGCTTTTTCCTATAAATACCGTAAATTGGGATATTTTGGCTATAGTCTTATTTCAGTTTACTTGGAACCTTAGACATTGTTAGAAGAAACTCCCAAATTAAATACAGACAAATATACCTTTCCTTAGTAAAATAATAGAATGCAAGATTTTTAATAATCATATTATCTAAAACATTACGAGCAATGAATATGATTAAACAATAAAAATTTTCGATAAATATTTGGATTAACTGACAAATGATCACAAAAGATATAAAACAAGAATGTGTCCATAGTACACGGATGCCCAACTCTCACTATCATTTTCTATGTTCAGTGGACCATGAAATTGGGGTCAAAAATATAATTTAGCATTAAATTTTGAAAGATCATATCATAGGGAACATGTGTACTAAGTTTCAAGTTGACTAGACTTCAACTTCATCAAAAACTACCTAGACCAAAAACTTTAACCTGAAGCGGGACTGACGGACGAACGAACAGATGGACAAATGAACGGACGGACACACAGACCGAAAAACATAATGCCCCTCTACTATCGTAGGTGGGGCATAAAAAAAATTTTAATTACAATATTCATATATTTGTAGGACCAACACAACAAATGTTGTTACACTTTAGATTATTCTTTTTACTTGATAACCAGATCAAACAATTATTGTACCAATACTTCAATTAATAACAGTAAACTTCAATTAATCTAATCTCAAATGTAAAGCAAATTTGTTTCCTAGATTGTAAATTGATGTTAAAGAAGTCACCAAAAAGTTTATTGAAAAAGAACAACATGTGGTTAATATGCCTTCTGTTTGCACTATTTGAGCAAGTTCAAAATGTTTATTTAAAATTGTATTAAAAAAAAATTATGAATTACAAAACATTTCTTGTAGAATGCTCATGTAACTCACTTTGGCAGATACAGAAAAGAATATACATGTACCATGAGCCTCCTCATGGGGTTTTTGATTATGTGATTACTTGGTCGTTTTTATAGTGATTATTTGATTACCAGACAAAATATTTCATGATTATTTGATTATTTGATAATCTAGGACTGTATTTTTGATAATTTGATAAAAAAATAATTAATGATTATGTGATGATATTGGCAAAAAATGTGTGATTATGTGATTACTTGGACACCCCCATGAAGGGCCTCTATCATGAAAAAAAAATGTCTAGCTGATAAAATATCTCCTGCATAAAACATAAGCCAGACCTTGGCATACAATACTAAGAAGTACTTATCAAAATGATAATCAATTGTACTGACATATCCTAATATAGATTCAATTAATGTCAATAAAACTCATGTTTAAATCAATGTCTGAAGATCTTTTCTCTCTTTCCACCAGTCTTATTGATTGCAGTAACTAAGGTGAAGGGAAAACGTCAGTTAATAAAATGCTCCGCAGGGCGCAGCTTGATACGACCGCAGAGGTCGAACCCTGAACAGTTGGGGCAAGTATGGACACAACATTCAAGTTTGATACAGCTCTGAATTTGGATTGTGATTAAATATTTGACACAGCATAGGTTTCTGACACAGAATGAATGTGGTCTAAGAACTTAAAAATTTTAAATTGGACATTCACCTATTATGGTCCAATATCCAAAATCTAAATACATGGTTAGATTCAGCATATCAAAGAACCCCAAGAATTCAATTTTTGATGAAATCAAACAAAGTTTAATTTTGGACCCTTTTGATCTCAATGTGGACAAAGTTGATAACGGGGCCCAAAAATCAAAAATCTAAATACATGGTTAGATTCAGCATATCAAAGAACCCCATATATTCAATTTTTGTTGAAATCAAATAAAGTTTAATTTTGGACCCCGATTTGGACCAACTTGAAAACTGGGCCCATAATCAAAAATCTAAACACATGTTTAGATTCAGCATATCAAAGAACCCTAAAAATTCAATTTTTGTTAAAATCAAACTAAGTTTAATTTTGGACCCTTTGGACCTTTATGTAGACCAATTTGAAAATGGAACCAAAAATTAAGAATCTAAATACACGGTTAGATTCGGCATATCAAAGAACCCCAATAATTCAATTTTTGATGAAATCAAACAAAGTTAAATTTTGGACCCTTTGGACCTCAATGTGGACCAATTTAAAAACGGGGCCCAAAATCCAAAAACTTAATACACAGTTATATTCAGCATATGAAAGAACCCCATATATTCAATTTTTGTTGAAATCAAACAAAGTTAAATTTTGGACCCCGATTTGGACCAACTTGAAAACTGGGCCCATAATCAAAAATCTAAATACATGGTTAGATTCAGCATATCAAAGAACCCCATATATTCAATTTTTGTTGAAATCAAATAAAGTTTAATTTTGGACCCTGATTTGGACCAACTTGAAAACTGGGCCCATAATCAAAAATCTAAATACATGGTTAGATTCAGCATATCAAAGAACCCCATATATTCAATTTTTGTTGAAATCAAACTAAGTTTAATTTTGGACCCTTTGGACCTTTATGTAGACCAATTTGAAAACGGAACCAAAAATTAAGAATCTAAATACACGGTTAGATTCGGCATATCACAGAACCCCAATAATTCAATTTTTGATGAAATCAAACAAAGTTAAATTTTGGACCCTTTGGACCTCAATGTGGACCAATTTAAAAACAGGGCCCAAAATCCAAAAACTTAATACATGGTTAGATTCAGCATATTAAAGAACCCCAAGAATTCAAGAATAAAACCCCATTGAAATTGATCAAGAAATAAGCAATTTATACAAAGTATATTCTTTTGCACAATACTGTGCAATTGAATATTTCTTGCTATTGCGCAATACTGTACAATTGACAATTTCTTGCTATTGCGCAATATTGTGCTATTGGATATTTCTTGCTATTGCGCAATACTGTGCAATTGAAGATTTCTTGCTATTGCGCAATACTGTGCAATTGAAGATTTCTTGCTATTGTGCAATACTGTGCAATTGAAAATTTCTTGCTATTGCACAATACTTATTGTATAATAATTTACACATCCTGTTTGGTGTGTATTTCCTACCATATCATTATTATTTGCTTTTAAATATAAATCAGAAATAACCAACTTAAAATGGAAAATTTTAAAAGAAAAAAAAAAGGAAAAAAAGAAAAAAAAAAAAGAAACCCCCCCCCCCCCCAAATTTTTTGAACCCCCTTATGATTCATCACCCCAAACTCAATCCCAGCCTTCCCTTTGTGGTATGGTATCTTGCAGTACAATTTCAGAGAGATCCATACAATTGAACACAAGTTATTGTCTGGAAACTAGAAAAATGCTTATTTTTGGCCCCTTTTTGGCCCCCAATTCCTAAACGTTTCTGGCAATTACCCCCAAACTCAATTCCAGCTTTCCCTTTGTGATATGGAACCTTGTAGTACAATTTAAGAAATATCCAAACACTTACACACAAGTTATTGTCATGAAACTAGAAAAATGCTTGTTTTTTGCCCCTTTTTTGGCCCCTTATCTTAAAATTTTGAGGCAATTACCCCCAAAATCAATTACAGCCTTCCCTATGTGATATGGAACCTTGTGGTACAATGTCAGAGAGATCCATACACTTACACACAAGTTATTGTCTGGAAGTTACAAAAATGCTTATTTTTGGCCCCTTTTTGGCCCCTAATTCCTTAACTGTTGGTACCATAACCCCCAAAATCAATCCCAACCTTCCTTTCATGGTATTGAACCTTATGGTAAAATTTCATGGAGATCCATTAACTTAAACTAAAGTTAGAGTGCGAAAACTAGGTCTATGTGCATCTTCAACAATGGACAATCTCCAACATTTTGGACTCGAATAGAATTCATGACAAAAATCTTCTTTTTTTTTTGTTGATCTTGTATTGCTTATCATTTATTCTGTTAACAGTTTCTCTCTATCTTCATTAGTTTTTGCCAAAAACACAAAAGGGTAAAAAAATCATCATTTCAGGGCAATCACTCCTATAAAGGTCTACTAACAATTTCAGCAATTTTACTTATTTGTAGATCTTCTTTTGCTGATCATTTTTAGTTTTGAAAGTGTCTATCTAGCTTTTATAATTTTCAAAAGAACAGGCAAAAAACACAAAAATGGTAAAAATTGTAAGAACTCCAATAGGGTGTCGATTGGAGATTTTAGCCACATTGACTAATTAAAATATGTACGTTGCTAATTGGGTAAAAATATAAGTTGTTTTGTCTTCTAAAGACTGTTACTGAATTTAATAAGCGAAGTTTTTCAATATCACAATGAAAGTGTGTAAAGACAAATGACTATTCAAATAATGGGCAACACATGTACATTGTAGTATCATCTTCTTTTGCAGATTTTTAATCAAATTTAAATTTTTCAATAGCCACTTCTCTGTTAAATAAGACATGTGTATGGCAAAATATATCACACAGTCAAAGCCCCAAAAACACCCCTATAAACACCACAAACCTGATACAGCATCAACACATTGTAAGAATATGTTCATGTTGTCATCACACTTAGCTTCATCGTCATAGAAATAGGTCCTGGCACTTACAACCTTCTCACGTCTATCTAAAAACTCCTCATGTGCTGCAAATCTCTTTTGTTCTGGATCTGAAAATGAAAATCAGCAGATCTTGTTAATATCAACATGTACAAAATAATAATAGGAAAGTTAAAAAGACAATTCTCATTTTTGAAGAGTTCAAATTCTTCAGACTCGCTCCTCCACGAGATAAATCTTGATTATGTCAGTGATAGACGATGTGACAGAATTTGTATATCATTCAAATTTTATAATAGTTTTGATTTTTTGTCTTGATTATACAGGTATACATGTATCTGGTTCATTTTTAAAAAATGTCAATTTTTCTGTACAACTACAAGTATTTCCAAATATTCATTTTTAATGAATAATACCGTTGTGTAAGTGTTGTAGGATTAGTGATTCTAAACATCAATAATTTAATTTTGGATGTAAAACATCTTCTGATTGGCTGAAAGTTTTTTGACTATCAGCTCATAGACATAATTTTGTCATGTGACCATAATGCATCAACGGTTTTTCATGATTTACTCCTTAAAAATGGAAGTTAGAATTAAATTATAAGGAAAGACTAATATTTTTTCTGTCTATTTGAAATAACCTCAAAAATGTGGTGCACACTTTTAAATAACCCCGCTACATGGGTTATTCAGTGTGCACCACATTTTTTATGTTATTTCTTCATAGCCAGAAAAAATATTACAGTTATTCCTTAAATAATAAATATGATTTAGATCTATTTTGATGATATTACTGTGACAATGACTGTAGGTGTTGCTCTCCAACTATTGCAGTTCATTCAAAATTCTAACCAAATTGCAATTTGTTTTATCAAAACAAACTGTTCAACTGGTCAGAAATGTTAACCAACTGCTGTAGAACAACCACAGTCAAGTCATCAAAGGTCAAAGTGATAAAATAAAACATACTTACAATTCACTTCATTGCAATTAGAAAAATGTGGCTAAATATTTCTATACATATTGTTATCATGGTTATTGTAAAGAGAAATTCGAAAGGTGAGAGGTAGTAATTTTTTAATTGCTTTTAAAAAATGTAATGATTTCAAAAGCACAAAGCATCATAAAAATTGCCAACACAGCATGTTTCTTAAAAAACAGTGCAAAGAAAAGAAATTTGAAGAAATTTAGTAAAAAAAAAATATATGTGTGCACTCTTCAATCAGGTCTTTGCTGTTATCATCTTAATTCATTAATGAAAACAATACTGTAAAAAAAAGTGCAATTACATGATGGAAACCAAAATCACAGAAGAAAAAAATTATCACTGCAAAAATAGTGACTAGTTATTTCACAACAGCATTCATTAATATAGAAATTTGTCTATCTTATTACTATGGTTAAAGTAATAGGATAGACAATATTTAACTGAAACTTCTATCCTGTTACTATAGTTAAAGTTACAGGATAGACAATATTTGACTGAGACTTCTATCCTGTTACTATGGTTACTTCTATCCTGTTACTATAGTTAAAGTTACAGGATAGACAATATTTGACTGAGACTTCTATCCTGTTACTAGAGTTAAAGTTACAGGATAGACAATATTTGACTGAGACTTCTATCCTTTTACTATGGTTAGTTCTATCCTGTTACTATAGTTAAAGTTAGAGGATAGACAATATTTGACTGAGACTTCTATCCTGTTACTATGGTTACTTCTATCCTGTTACTATAGTTAAAGTTAGAGGATAGACAATATTTGAATGAGGCTTCTATCCTGTTACTATAGTTACTTCCATCCTGTTACTATGGTTGAAGTAACAGGATAGACAATATTTGACTGAAACGTCTTCAAATAGTATATAAATTAGTTTATGGTTTTTTTTACACATTATGAAATGTTTTATTGTTTGAATTCATTTCAAAGGTCACAATGTCTTTATCTTCACAGTTTAGCACACACAAAATGCAATACTGCTTTCGTTAACAGGATTATTATAGATAGACTTAACTAGAAACAGGATAGAACTTATTTTAGTGATATATCGTAAAGAGTATGTTCCTGTTACCAACAACAAATTGATTACAGTAAAACTATATTTGAAGGAATTACTTCATGTTTAGTATATTAGAAAGAGAGAGAAAATTATTGATTATAATATTATGAATTGGTGCCTTAGACTTACGTTGTGGGTGGTCATCTTTATAACCTTTGAAAAACAAGTTTTAGAGGTAATTTTCAGTACAACATGGAAAATTGACAAACAATCTATATATATATATATATGATAATGATAATTAATGACTGTTATATTCTGTGTTTGATGAAAATCCAGATTTGGGATTTTATATCAATAAAATTTGACTTTGCCTTTCAAATCAGTGAACAACTGTTTGTCAAAAATTAAAAGTATAGTCAATAAAATTGAGAATGGAAATGGGGAATGTGTCAAAGAGACAACAACCTGACCATAGAGCAGACAACAAGTTATCACGCTAGGTCAATCATAAATCTACATTGACATAAAGTTTATTGATTGTAAAAAAATCTTGGGATTTTGGATTTTTTTTTTAAATTTGATAAATTTGTTATTTCTTTTTATCAATAAATTAAAAAAAATAGGTCGAGAATAATGTTCTAGGATATTTTCTTTGCTCTGGCAAATAAAAAATTATTGAACACAATAAATGCATGAAAATGAAAGAAGACATTGACCAACTTCTAGACTTAACAGACTAGAGAAAAGGTTGGTTTTTTTTGCTTGTCACTTTCAGAAGTTTTCTGTTCCCTCCTTTCCCCCACTTTTCAGCCGACTCCTCACCACTGCTTTGATATTGAAAATTATTACACCTGACATACATCTGAGCAAGGAGGTTATATAGACCCTCCTTGATCTGAGTTATTTAGACACTTACAGTTTATATTATAAACAATACAATACACGTACTGTTCTACAGATTAATCAGGATCTTACTGATGTACATGTAGATCTGACAGATGAAAATAAGGTCATGTGTCACTTCAAGATGGGAAGGGGGATAACAAACATATTATGTCCCAAGCTTCAAGAAACATACAGTTGTTCAAGATAATCATTTATACTTACATTTTCAGCTTTTTCTTTATAGTAAGGAATTCTTATGCTTTTTCCTTGGCAATGCATTAAAAAATTGCCTAGCAACACCCTATATTTCTGAATATTTTTTCAAAAGCACACATGTACAACTCAAATAAACATTAAAGTAAAAATATCATTTTGTAGTGTATATTTATACATGGCATATGAGATAGGGTGCATGAACAAATCTTTTTCATAAAATAAATGATTTTATTGGTGGCTTTGATCTATATTTACATTTAAATAAATGATCATCTGCCAGTATTTATGTCTTAAACAATTGTCTGAACTTTGTGTATTACAAACTCTTATATATTTATTTTTTATTTTAATTTGAATAATTCTAAACTCACCCAATTCTTCTAGAGGTGGTTGATTTTCTGGAACACAACCCCTGAAAAAAGAATGAACAAAATTCAAATAGGCCAATCTATATATGATGTCAATTGTTTTAAGAAATTAACCAACTTACTGTTGGATAAGCATTCTAGAAAACTTTTACTGCTCTGAAAGACTCAAAGTGAGAAGACATTACCTATGGAACTGTACAGAAATTGTTGTACTACGAATAGTAGCAGGCAGTTTTAAATGGAAACAGCCTTGGAAATGTCAATAAAATGCTCCGCTGGGGCGCAGCTTGATACGACCGCAGAGGTCGAACCCTGAACAGTTGGGGCAAGTATGGACACAACATTAAAGCTTGATACAGCACTGAATTTGGATTGTAATTAAATATTTGACACAGCATAGGTTTCTGACACAGAAGGAATGTGGTCTAAGAACTTAAAATTTTTTAATTTACCTATTCAAACCATATCATTATTATTTGCTTTTATATATAAATCAGAAATAACCAATTTAAAATGGAAAATTTTAAAGAAAAAAAAGAAAAAAAAATCTCCCCCCCCCCCAAATTTTTTGAACCCCCTTATGATTCATCACCCCCAAATCACTCCCAGCCTTCCCTTTGTGGTATGGTACTTTGCAGTACAATTTCAGAGAGATCCATACACTTGAACACAAGTTATTGTCTGGAAACTAGAAAAATACTTGTTTTTTGGCCCCAAATTCCTAAACGTTTAGGGCAATTACCCCCAAACTCAAACCCAGCTTTCCCTTTGTGATATGGAACCTTGCAGTACAGTTTCATAAAGATCCATACACTTACACACAAGTTATTGTCCTGAAACTAGAAAAATGCTTGTTTTTTTGCCCTTTTATGGCCCCTAATTCCTAAAATTTTGAGGGAATTACCCTCAAAATCAATCCCAGCCTTCCCTTTGTGGTATTTTACCTTGCAGTACAATTTCAGAGAGATCCATACACTTGAACACAAGTTATTGTCTGGAAACTAGAAAAATGCTTATTTTTGGCCCCTTATTCCTAAACGTTTTGGGCAATTACCCCCAAACTCAATTCCAGCTTTCCCTTTGTGATATGGAACCTTGTAGTACAATTTAAATTTCATAAAGATCCATACACTTACACACAAGTTATTGTCATGAAACTAGAAAAAATGCTTGTTTTTTGCCCCTTTTTGGACCCTTATTCCTAAATTTTGGAGGCAATTACCCCCAAAATCAATCCCAGCATTCCCTTTGTGATATGGAACCTTGTGGTACAATGTCAGAAAGATCCATACACTTACACACAAGTTATTGTCATGAAACTAGAAAAATGCTTGTTTTTTGCCCCTTTTTGGCCCCTAATTCCTAAAATTTGGAGGCAATTACCCCCAAAATCAATCCCAGCTTTCCCTTTGTGATATGGAACCTTGTGGTACAATGTCAGAGAGATCCATACACTAACACACAAGTTATGTCTGGAAGTTACAACAAGAGTGCACACGCTGAAATGTCTCGCCTTCTTTATTAATCATTGATATTATGTTGATAGTCCTAAATATAAAGCTTTATTACAACTGTCACATAAACTTAATATTAACCAAAAAACTAAACATTGACCAATGAACCATGAAAATGAGGTCAAGGTCAGATGAACCATGCCAGGCAGACATGTACAGCTAACAATTCTTCCATACAACAAATATAGTTGACCTATTGCTTATAGTTTAAGAAAAACAGACCATAACACAAAAACTTAACACTGTGCAATGAACCGTGAAAATGAGGTCAAGGTCGAATAAAACCTGTGCGTCCAACATATAGATCATAAAATATTTCCATATACCAAATATAGTTGACCTATTGCATATAGTATTAAGAAAAAAGACCAAAACTCAAAAACTTAACTTTGACCACTGAACCATGAAAATGAGGTCAAGGTCAGATGAAACCTGCCAGCTAGACATGTACACCTTACAATCATTCCATACACCAAAAATAGTAGACCTATTGCATACAGTATAAGAACTAGAGGCTCTAAAGAGCCTGTGTCGCTCACCTTGGTCTATGTGCATATTAAACAAAGGACACAGATGGATTCATGACAAAATTGTGTTTTAGTGATGGTTATGTGTTTGTAGATCTTACTTTACTGAACATTCTTGCTCCTTACTATTATCTCTATCTATAATGAACTTGGCCCGGTAGTTACAGTGGAAAATACTTTGTAAAAATTTACAAAAATTTACAAAATTTATGAAAATTGTAAAAAATTGACTATAAAGGGCAATAACTCCTTGAGGGGTCAATTGACAATTTTGGTCATGTTGCCTTATTTGTAGATCTAACTTTGCTGTACATTATTGCTGTTTACAGTTTATCTCTATCTATAATAATATTCAAGATAATAACCAAAAGCTGCAAAATTTTCTTAAAATTACCAATTCAGGGGCAGCAACCCAACAACATTCTGCCTGATTGGTCTGAAAATTTTAAGGCAGATAGATCTTGACCTAATGAACAATTTTATCCTTGTCAGATTTGCTCTAAATGCTTTGGTTTCAGAGATATGAGCAAAAAACTGCATTTTACCCTATGTACTATTTTCTAGCCATGTCGGCCATCTTGGTTCGAGGGCAGGGTCATCGGACACATTTTTTAAACTAGATACCCTAATGATGATTGTGGACAAGTTTGGTTAAATTTGTCTTAGTAGTTCCAGAGGAGAAGATTTTTGTAAAAAATTACAAAAATTTACGAAAAATGGTTAAAAATTGACTATAAAGGGCAATAACTCCTTAAGGGGTCAACTGACCATTTTGGTCATGTTGACTCATTTGTAGATCTTACTTTGCTGAACATTATTGCTGTTTACAGTTTATCTCTATCTATAATAATATTCAAGATAATAACCAAAAACGGCAAAATTTCCTTAAAATTACCAATTCAGGGGCAGCAACCCAACAACGGGTTACCTGATTGGTCTGAAAATTTAAGTACAGATAGATCTTGACCTAATGAACAATTTTATCCTCATCAGATTTCCTCTAAATGCTTTGGTTTCAGAGATATGAGCCAAAAACTGCATTTTACCCTATGTACTATTTTTTAGCCATGTCGGCAATCTTGGTTCGCGGGCGGGGTCATCGGACACATTTTTTAAACTAGATACCCTAATGATGATTGTGGACAAGTTTGGTTAAATTTGTCTTAGTATTTTCAGAGGAGAAGATTTTTGTAAAAAATTACAAAAATTTACGAAAAATGGTTAAAAATTGACTATAAAGGGCAATAACTCCTTAAGGGGTCAACTGACCATTTTGGTCATGTTGACTCATTTGTAGATCTTACTTTGCTGAACATTATTGCTGTTTACAGTTTATCTCTATCTATAATAATATTCAAGATAATAACCAAAAACGGCAAAATTTCCTTAAAATTACCAATTCAGGGGCAGCAACCCAACAACGGGTTGCCTGATTGGTCTGAAAATTTAAGGGCAGATAGATCTTGACCTAATGAACAATTTTATCTCATCAGATTTCCTCATAATGCTTTGGTTTCAGAGATATGAGCCAAAAACTGCATTTTACCCTATGTACTATTTTTTAGCCATGTCGGCCATCTTGGTTCGAGGGCAGGGTCATCGGACACATTTTTTAAACTAGATACCCTAATGATGATTGTGGACAAGTTTGGTTAAATTTGTCTTAGTAGTTTCAGAGGAGAAGATTTTTGTAAAAAATTACAAAAATTTACGAAAAATGGTTAAAAATTGACTATAAAGGACAATAACTCCTTAAGGGGTCAACTGACCATTTTGGTCAAGTTGACTTATTTGTAGATCTTACTTTGCTGAACATTATTGCTGTTTACAGTTTATCTCTATCTATAATAATATTTAAGATAATAACCAAAAACGGCAAAATTTCCTTAAAATTACCAATTCAGGGGCAGCAACCCAACAACGGGTTACCTGATTGGTCTGAAAATTTAAGTTCAGATAGATCTTGACCTAATGAACAATTTTATCCTCATCAGATTTCCTCTAAATGCTTTGGTTTCAGAGATATGAGCAAAAAACTGCATTTTACCCTATGTACTATTTTCTAGCCATGTCGGCCATCTTGGTTCGAGGGCAGGGTCATCGGACACATTTTTTAAACTAGATACCCTAATGATGATTGTGGACAAGTTTGGTTAAATTTGTCTTAGTAGTTCCAGAGGAGAAGATTTTTGTAAAAAATTACAAAAATTTACGAAAAATGGTTAAAAATTGACTATAAAGGGCAATAACTCCTTAAGGGGTCAACTGACCATTTTGATCATGTTGACTCATTTGTAGATCTTACTTTGCTGAACATTATTGCTGTTTACAGTTTATCTCTATCTATAATAATATTCAAGATAATAACCAAAAACGGCAAAATTTCCTTAAAATTACCAATTCAGGGGCAGCAACCCAACAACGGGTTACCTGATTGGTCTGAAAATTTAAGTACAGATAGATCTTGACCTAATGAACAATTTTATCCTCATCAGATTTCCTCTAAATGCTTTGGTTTCAGAGATATGAGCCAAAAACTGCATTTTACCCTATGTACTATTTTTTAGCCATGTCGGCAATCTTGGTTCGCGGGCGGGGTCATCGGACACATTTTTTAAACTAGATACCCTAATGATGATTGTGGACAAGTTTGGTTAAATTTGTCTTAGTATTTTCAGAGGAGAAGATTTTTGTAAAAAATTACAAAAATTTACGAAAAATGGTTAAAAATTGACTATAAAGGGCAATAACTCCTTAAGGGGTCAACTGACCATTTTGGTCATGTTGACTCATTTGTAGATCTTACTTTGCTGAACATTATTGCTGTTTACAGTTTATCTCTATCTATAATAATATTCAAGATAATAACCAAAAACGGCAAAATTTCCTTAAAATTACCAATTCAGGGGCAGCAACCCAACAACGGGTTGCCTGATTGGTCTGAAAATTTAAGGGCAGATAGATCTTGACCTAATGAACAATTTTATCTCATCAGATTTCCTCATAATGCTTTGGTTTCAGAGATATGAGCCAAAAACTGCATTTTACCCTATGTACTATTTTTTAGCCATGTCGGCCATCTTGGTTCGAGGGCAGGGTCATCGGACACATTTTTTAAACTAGATACCCTAATGATGATTGTGGACAAGTTTGGTTAAATTTGTCTTAGTAGTTTCAGAGGAGAAGATTTTTGTAAAAAATTACAAAAATTTACGAAAAATGGTTAAAAATTGACTATAAAGGACAATAACTCCTTAAGGGGTCAACTGACCATTTTGGTCAAGTTGACTTATTTGTAGATCTTACTTTGCTGAACATTATTGCTGTTTACAGTTTATCTCTATCTATAATAATATTTAAGATAATAACCAAAAACGGCAAAATTTCCTTAAAATTACCAATTCAGGGGCAGCAACCCAACAACGGGTTACCTGATTGGTCTGAAAATTTAAGTTCAGATAGATCTTGACCTAATGAACAATTTTATCCTCATCAGATTTCCTCTAAATGCTTTGGTTTCAGAGATATGAGCAAAAAACTGCATTTTACCCTATGTACTATTTTCTAGCCATGTCGGCCATCTTGGTTCGAGGGCAGGGTCATCGGACACATTTTTTAAACTAGATACCCTAATGATGATTGTGGACAAGTTTGGTTAAATTTGTCTTAGTAGTTCCAGAGGAGAAGATTTTTGTAAAAAATTACAAAAATTTACGAAAAATGGTTAAAAATTGACTATAAAGGGCAATAACTCCTTAAGGGGTCAACTGACCATTTTGATCATGTTGACTCATTTGTAGATCTTACTTTGCTGAACATTATTGCTGTTTACAGTTTATCTCTATCTATAATAATATTCAAGATAATAACCAAAAACGGCAAAATTTCCTTAAAATTACCAATTCAGGGGCAGCAACCCAACAACGGGTTACCTGATTGGTCTGAAAATTTAAGTACAGATAGATCTTGACCTAATGAACAATTTTATCCTCATCAGATTTCCTCTAAATGCTTTGGTTTCAGAGATATGAGCCAAAAACTGCATTTTACCCTATGTACTATTTTTTAGCCATGTCGGCAATCTTGGTTCGCGGGCGGGGTCATCGGACACATTTTTTAAACTAGATACCCTAATGATGATTGTGGACAAGTTTGGTTAAATTTGTCTTAGTATTTTCAGAGGAGAAGATTTTTGTAAAAAATTACAAAAATTTACGAAAAATGGTTAAAAATTGACTATAAAGGGCAATAACTCCTTAAGGGGTCAACTGACCATTTTGGTCATGTTGACTCATTTGTAGATCTTACTTTGCTGAACATTATTGCTGTTTACAGTTTATCTCTATCTATAATAATATTCAAGATAATAACCAAAAACGGCAAAATTTCCTTAAAATTACCAATTCAGGGGCAGCAACCCAACAACGGGTTGCCTGATTGGTCTGAAAATTTAAGGGCAGATAGATCTTGACCTAATGAACAATTTTATCTCATCAGATTTCCTCATAATGCTTTGGTTTCAGAGATATGAGCCAAAAACTGCATTTTACCCTATGTACTATTTTTTAGCCATGTCGGCCATCTTGGTTCGAGGGCAGGGTCATCGGACACATTTTTTAAACTAGATACCCTAATGATGATTGTGGACAAGTTTGGTTAAATTTGTCTTAGTAGTTTCAGAGGAGAAGATTTTTGTAAAAAATTACAAAAATTTACGAAAAATGGTTAAAAATTGACTATAAAGGACAATAACTCCTTAAGGGGTCAACTGACCATTTTGGTCAAGTTGACTTATTTGTAGATCTTACTTTGCTGAACATTATTGCTGTTTACAGTTTATCTCTATCTATAATAATATTTAAGATAATAACCAAAAACGGCAAAATTTCCTTAAAATTACCAATTCAGGGGCAGCAACCCAACAACGGGTTACCTGATTGGTCTGAAAATTTAAGTTCAGATAGATCTTGACCTAATGAACAATTTTATCCTCATCAGATTTCCTCTAAATGCTTTGGTTTCAGAGATATGAGCAAAAAAAAGCATTTTACCCTATGTACTATTTTCTAGCCATGTCGGCCATCTTGGTTCGAGGGCAGGGTCATCGGACACATTTTTTAAACTAGATACCCTAATGATGATTGTGGACAAGTTTGGTTAAATTTGTCTTAGTAGTTCCAGAGGAGAAGATTTTTGTAAAAAATTACAAAAATTTACGAAAAATGGTTAAAAATTGACTATAAAGGGCAATAACTCCTTAAGGGGTCAACTGACCATTTTGGTCATGTTGACTCATTTGTAGATCTTACTTTGCTGAACATTATTGCTGTTTACAGTTTATCTCTATCTATAATAATATTCAAGATAATAACCAAAAACGGCAAAATTTCCTTAAAATTACCAATTCAGGGGCAGCAACCCAACAACGGGTTGCCTGATTGGTCTGAAAATTTAAGGGCAGATAGATCTTGACCTAATGAACAATTTTATCCTCATCAGATTTCCTCTAAATGCTTTGGTTTCAGAGATATGAGCAAAAAACTGCATTTTACCCTATGTACTATTTTCTAGCCATGTCGGCCATCTTGGTTCGAGGGCAGGGTCATCGGACACATTTTTTAAACTAGATACCCTAATGATGATTGTGGACAAGTTTGGTTAAATTTGTCTTAGTAGTTCCAGAGGAGAAGATTTTTGTAAAAAATTACAAAAATTTACGAAAAATGGTTAAAAATTGACTATAAAGGGCAATAACTCCTTAAGGGGTCAACTGACCATTTTGATCATGTTGACTCATTTGTAGATCTTACTTTGCTGAACATTATTGCTGTTTACAGTTTATCTCTATCTATAATAATATTCAAGATAATAACCAAAAACGGCAAAATTTCCTTAAAATTACCAATTCAGGGGCAGCAACCCAACAACGGGTTACCTGATTGGTCTGAAAATTTAAGTACAGATAGATCTTGACCTAATGAACAATTTTATCCTCATCAGATTTCCTCTAAATGCTTTGGTTTCAGAGATATGAGCCAAAAACTGCATTTTACCCTATGTACTATTTTTTAGCCATGTCGGCAATCTTGGTTCGCGGGCGGGGTCATCGGACACATTTTTTAAACTAGATACCCTAATGATGATTGTGGACAAGTTTGGTTAAATTTGTCTTAGTATTTTCAGAGGAGAAGATTTTTGTAAAAAATTACAAAAATTTACGAAAAATGGTTAAAAATTGACTATAAAGGGCAATAACTCCTTAAGGGGTCAACTGACCATTTTGGTCATGTTGACTCATTTGTAGATCTTACTTTGCTGAACATTATTGCTGTTTACAGTTTATCTCTATCTATAATAATATTCAAGATAATAACCAAAAACGGCAAAATTTCCTTAAAATTACCAATTCAGGGGCAGCAACCCAACAAAGGGTTGCCTGATTGGTCTGAAAATTTAAGGGCAGATAGATCTTGACCTAATGAACAATTTTATCTCATCAGATTTCCTCATAATGCTTTGGTTTCAGAGATATGAGCCAAAAACTGCATTTTACCCTATGTACTATTTTTTAGCCATGTCGGCCATCTTGGTTCGAGGGCAGGGTCATCGGACACATTTTTTAAACTAGATACCCTAATGATGATTGTGGACAAGTTTGGTTAAATTTGTCTTAGTAGTTTCAGAGGAGAAGATTTTTGTAAAAAATTACAAAAATTTACGAAAAATGGTTAAAAATTGACTATAAAGGACAATAACTCCTTAAGGGGTCAACTGACCATTTTGGTCAAGTTGACTTATTTGTAGATCTTACTTTGCTGAACATTATTGCTGTTTACAGTTTATCTCTATCTATAATAATATTTAAGATAATAACCAAAAACGGCAAAATTTCCTTAAAATTACCAATTCAGGGGCAGCAACCCAACAACGGGTTACCTGATTGGTCTGAAAATTTAAGTTCAGATAGATCTTGACCTAATGAACAATTTTATCCTCATCAGATTTCCTCTAAATGCTTTGGTTTCAGAGATATGAGCAAAAAAAAGCATTTTACCCTATGTACTATTTTCTAGCCATGTCGGCCATCTTGGTTCGAGGGCAGGGTCATCGGACACATTTTTTAAACTAGATACCCTAATGATGATTGTGGACAAGTTTGGTTAAATTTGTCTTAGTAGTTCCAGAGGAGAAGATTTTTGTAAAAAATTACAAAAATTTACGAAAAATGGTTAAAAATTGACTATAAAGGGCAATAACTCCTTAAGGGGTCAACTGACCATTTTGGTCATGTTGACTCATTTGTAGATCTTACTTTGCTGAACATTATTGCTGTTTACAGTTTATCTCTATCTATAATAATATTCAAGATAATAACCAAAAACGGCAAAATTTCCTTAAAATTACCAATTCAGGGGCAGCAACCCAACAACGGGTTGCCTGATTGGTCTGAAAATTTAAGGGCAGATAGATCTTGACCTAATGAACAATTTTATCTCATCAGATTTCCTCATAATGCTTTGGTTTCAGAGATATGAGCCAAAAACTGCATTTTACCCTATGTACTATTTTTTAGCCATGTCGGCCATCTTGGTTCGAGGGCAGGGTCATCGGACATATTTTTTTAACTAGATACCCTAATGATGATTGTGGACAAGTTTGGTTAAATTTGTCTTAGTAGTTTCAGAGGAGAAGATTTTTGTAAAAAATTACAAAAATTTACGAAAAATGGTTAAAAATTGACTATAAAGGACAATAACTCCTTAAGGGGTCAACTGACCATTTTGGTCAAGTTGACTTATTTGTAGATCTTACTTTGCTGAACATTATTGCTGTTTACAGTTTATCTCTATCTATAATAATATTTAAGATAATAACCAAAAACGGCAAAATTTCCTTAAAATTACCAATTCAGGGGCAGCAACCCAACAACGGGTTACCTGATTGGTCTGAAAATTTAAATTCAGATAGATCTTGACCTAATGAACAATTTTATCCTCATCAGATTTCCTCTAAATGCTTTGGTTTCAGAGATATGAGCAAAAAACTGCATTTTACCCTATGTACTATTTTCTAGCCATGTCGGCCATCTTGGTTCGAGGGCAGGGTCATCGGACACATTTTTTAAACTAGATACCCTAATGATGATTGTGGACAAGTTTGGTTAAATTTGTCTTAGTAGTTCCAGAGGAGAAGATTTTTGTAAAAAATTACAAAAATTTACGAAAAATGGTTAAAAATTGACTATAAAGGGCAATAACTCCTTAAGGGGTCAACTGACCATTTTGGTCATGTTGACTCATTTGTAGATCTTACTTTGCTGAACATTATTGCTGTTTACAGTTTATCTCTATCTATAATAATATTCAAGATAATAACCAAAAACGGCAAAATTTCCTTAAAATTACCAATTCAGGGGCAGCAACCCAACAACGGGTTACCTGATTGGTCTGAAAATTTAAGTACAGATAGATCTTGACCTAATGAACAATTTTATCCTCATCAGATTTCCTCTAAATGCTTTGGTTTCAGAGATATGAGCCAAAAACTGCATTTTACCCTATGTACTATTTTTTAGCCATGTCGGCAATCTTGGTTCGCGGGCGGGGTCATCGGACACATTTTTTAAACTAGATACCCTAATGATGATTGTGGACAAGTTTGGTTAAATTTGTCTTAGTATTTTCAGAGGAGAAGATTTTTGTAAAAAATTACAAAAATTTACGAAAAATGGTTAAAAATTGACTATAAAGGGCAATAACTCCTTAAGGGGTCAACTGACCATTTTGGTCATGTTGACTCATTTGTAGATCTTACTTTGCTGAACATTATTGCTGTTTACAGTTTATCTCTATCTATAATAATATTCAAGATAATAACCAAAAACGGCAAAATTTCCTTAAAATTACCAATTCAGGGGCAGCAACCCAACAACGGGTTGCCTGATTGGTCTGAAAATTTAAGGGCAGATAGATCTTGACCTAATGAACAATTTTATCTCATCAGATTTCCTCATAATGCTTTGGTTTCAGAGATATGAGCCAAAAACTGCATTTTACCCTATGTACTATTTTTTAGCCATGTCGGCCATCTTGGTTCGAGGGCAGGGTCATCGGACACATTTTTTAAACTAGATACCCTAATGATGATTGTGGACAAGTTTGGTTAAATTTGTCTTAGTAGTTTCAGAGGAGAAGATTTTTGTAAAAAATTACAAAAATTTACGAAAAATGGTTAAAAATTGACTATAAAGGACAATAACTCCTTAAGGGGTCAACTGACCATTTTGGTCAAGTTGACTTATTTGTAGATCTTACTTTGCTGAACATTATTGCTGTTTACAGTTTATCTCTATCTATAATAATATTTAAGATAATAACCAACTAGAGGCTCTAAAGAGCCTGTGTCGCTCACCTTGGTCTATGTGAATATTAAACAAAGGACGCAGATGGATTCATGACAAAATTGTGTTTTGGTGATGGTGATGTGTTTGTACATCTTAATTTACTGAACATTTTTCCTGCTTACAATTATCTCTATCTATAATTAACTTGGCCCAGTAGTTTCAGAGGAGAAGATTTTTGTAAAAGATTACTAAGATTTACGAAAAAATGGTTAAAATTGACTATAAAGGGCAATAACTCCTAAAGGGGTCAACTGACAATTTCGGTCATGTTGACTTATTTGTTGATCTTACTTTGCCGACATTTATCGTTTTTTACAGTTTATCTCTATCTATAATAATATTCAAGATAATAACCAAAAACAGCAAAATTACCTTAAAATTACCAATTCAGAGGCAGCAACCCAACAACAGGTTGTCCGATTCATCTGAAAATTTCAGGGCAGATAGATCTTGACCTGATAAACAATTTTACTTCATGTCAGATTTGCTTTAAATGCTTTGGTTTTTGAGTTAAAAGCCAAAAACTGAATTTTACCCCTATGTTCTATTTTTAGCCGTGGCGGCCATCTTGGTTGGTTGACCAGGTCACGCCACACATTTTTAAAACTAAATAACCAAATGATGATTGTGGCCAAGTTTGGTTTAATTTGGCCCAGTTGTTTCAGAGGAGAAGATTTTTGTAAAAGATTACTAAGATTTACGAAAAATGGTTAAAAATTGACTATAAAGGGCAATTACTCCTAAAGGGGTCAACTGACAATTTCGGTTATATTGACTTATTTGTAAATCTTACTTTGCTGAACATTATTGCTGTTTACAGTTTATCTCTATCTATAATAATATTCAAGATAATAACCAAAAACAGCAAAATTTCCTTAAAATTACCAATTCAGGGGCAGCAACCCAATAACGGGTTGTCCGATTCATCTGAAAATTTGAGGGCAGATAGATCTTGACCTGATGAACAATTTTACCCCATGTCAGATTTGCTCTTAATGCTTTGGTTTTTGAGTTATAAGCTAAAAACTGCATTTTACCCCTATGTTCTATTTTTAGCCGTGGCGGCCATCTTGGTTGGTTGACAGGGTCACGCCACACATTTTTAAAACTAGATACCCCAATGATGATTGTGGCCAAGTTTGGTTAAATTTGGCCCAGTAGTTTCAGAGGAGAAGATTTTTGTAAAAGTTTACGGACGACGGACGACGGACGCAGGACGACGGACGACGGACGCAAAGTGATGAGAAAAGCTCACTTGACCTTTCAGGTCAGGTGAGCTAAAAACGGCAAAATTTCCTTAAAATTACCAATTCAGGGGCAGCAACCCAACAACGGGTTACCTGATTGGTCTGAAAATTTAAGTTCAGATAGATCTTGACCTAATGAACAATTTTATCCTCATCAGATTTCCTCTAAATGCTTTGGTTTCAGAGATATGAGCAAAAAACTGCATTTTACCCTATGTACTATTTTCTAGCCATGTCGGCCATCTTGGTTCGCGGGTGGGGTCATCGGACACATTTTTTAAACTAAATACCCTAATGATGATTGTGGACAAGTTTGGTTAAATTTGTCTTAGTAGTTTCAGAGGAGAAGAATTTTGTAAAAAATTACAAAAATGTACGAAAAATGGTTAAAAATTGACTATAAAGGGCAATAACTCCTTAAGGGGTCAACTGACATTTTTGGTCAAGTTGACTTATTTGTAGATCTTACTTTGCTGAACATTATTGCTGTTTACAGTTTATCTCTATCTATAATAATATTCAAGATAATAACCAACTAGAGGCTCTAAAGAGCCTGTGTCGCTCACCTTGGTCTATGTGAATATTAAACAAAGGACGCAGATGGATTCATGACAAAATTGTGTTTTGGTGATGGTGATGTGTTTGTACATCTTAATTTACTGAACATTTTTCCTGCTTACAATTATCTCTATCTATAATTAACTTGGCCCAGTAGTTTCAGAGGAGAAGATTTTTGTAAAAGATTACTAAGATTTACGAAAAAATGGTTAAAAATTGACTATAAAGGGCAATAACTCCTAAAGGGGTCAAGTGACAATTTCGGTCATGTTGACTTATTTGTTAATCTTACTTTGCTGAACATTATTGCTGTTTACAGTTTATCTCTATCTATAATAATATTCAAGATAATAACCAAAAACAGCAAAATTTCCTTAAAATTACCAATTCAGGGGCAGCAACCCAACAACAGGTTGTTTGATTCATCTGAAAATTTCAGGGCAGATAGATCTTGACCTGATTAACAATTTTACTTCATGTCAGATTTGCTTTAAATGCTTTGGTTTTTGAGTTAAAAGCCAAAAACTGAATTTTACCCCTATGTTCTATTTTTAGCCGTAGCGGCCATCTTGGTTGGTTGACCAGGTCACGCCACACATTTTTAAAACTAGATAACCAAATGATGATTGTGGCCAAGTTTGGTTTAATTTGGCCACGGAGTTTCAGAGGAGAAGATTTTTGTAAAAGATTACCAAGATTTACGAAAAATTGTTAAAAATTGACTATAAAGGGCAATAACTCCTAAAGGGGTCAACTGACCATTTCAGTCATGTTGACTTATTTGTTAATCTTACTTTGCTGAACATTATTGCTGTTTACAGTTTATCTCTATCTATAATAATATTCAAGATAATAACCAAAAACAGCAAAATTTCCTTAAAATTACCAATTCAGGGGCAGCAACCCAACAACAGGTTGTTCGATTCATCTGAAAATTTCAGGGCAGATAGATCTTGACCTGATTAACAATTTTACTTCATGTCAGATTTGCTTTAAATGCTTTGGTTTTTGAGTTATAAGCCAAAAACTGCATTTTACCCCTATGTTTTATTTTTAGCTGTGGCGGCCATCTTGGTTGGTTGGCCGGGTCACGCCACACATTTTTTAAACTAGATACCCCAATGATGATTGTGGCCAAGTTTGGTTTAATTTGGCCCAGTTGTTTCAGAGGAGAAGATTTTTGTAAAAGATTACTAAGATTTACGAAAAATGGTTAAAAATTGACTATAAAGGGCAATTACTCCTAAAGGGGTCAACTGACAATTTCGGTTATATTGACTTATTTGTAAATCTTACTTTGCTGAACATTATTGCTGTTTACAGTTTATCTCTATCTATAATAATATTCAAGATAATAACCAAAAACAGCAAAATTTCCTTAAAATTACCAATTCAGGGGCAGCAACCCAATAACGGGTTGTCCGATTCATCTGAAAATTTCAGGGCAGATAGATCTTGACCTGATGAACAATTTTACCCCATGTCAGATTTGCTCTTAATGCTTTGGTTTTTGAGTTATAAGCTAAAAACTGCATTTTACCCCTATGTTCTATTTTTAGCCGTGGCGGCCATCTTGGTTGGTTGACCGGGTCACGCCACACATTTTCAAAACTAGATACCCCAATGATGATTGTGGCCAAGTTTGGTTAAATTTGGCCCAGTAGTTTCAGAGGAGAAGATTTTTGTAAAAGTTTACGGACGACGGACGACGGACGACGGACGCAGGACGACGGACGACGGACGCAAAGTGATGAGAAAAGCTCACTTGACCTTTCAGGTCAGGTGAGCTAAAAACGGCAAAATTTCCTTAAAATTACCAATTCAGGGGCAGCAACCCAACAACAGGTTGCCTGATTGGTCTGAAAATTTAAGGGCAGATAGATCTTGACCTAATGAACAATTTTATCTTCATCAGATTTCCTCATAATGCTTTGGTTTCAGAGATATGAGCCAAAAACTGCATTTTACCCTATGTACTATTTTTTAGCCATGTCGGCCATCTTGGTTCGAGGGCAGGGTCATCGGACACATTTTTTAAACTAGATACCCTAATGATGATTGTGGACAAGTTTGGTTAAATTTGTCTTAGTAGTTTCAGAGGAGAAGATTTTTGTAAAAGATTATAAAAATTTACGAAAAATGGTTAAAAATTGACTATAAAGGGCAATAACTCCTTAAGGGGTCAACTGACCTTTTTGGTCAAGTTGACTTATTTGTAGATCTTACTTTGCTGAACATTATTGCTGTTTACAGTTTATCTCTATCTATAATAATATTCAAGATAATAACCAAAAACGACAAAATTTCCTTAAAATTACCAATTCAGGGGCAGCAACCCAACAACAGGTTGTCCGATTCATCTGAAAATTTCAGGGCAGATAGATCTTGACCTGATAAACAATTTTACCCCATGTCAGATTTGCTCTAAATGCTTTGGTTTCAGAGATATAAGCCAAAATCTACATTTTACCCCTATGTTCTATTTTTAGCCATGGCAGCCATCTTGGTTGGTTGGCCGGGTCACCGGACACATTTTTTAAACTAGATTCCCCAATGATGATTGTGGCCAAGTTTGGTCAAATTTGGCCCAGTAGTTTCAGAGGAGAAGATTTTTGTAAAAGTTTACGGACGACGGACGACGGACGACGGACGCCAAGTGATGAGAAAAGCTCACTTGACCTTTCAGGTCAGGTGAGCTAAAAACAGACCAAAACACAACAAGAGGCTGTCAGAGTGACAGCAAACCAGATTTTCCTGCAGAGGTCAAACCCTGAACAGTTCAGCAAGTATGGACACTTCATTTAAGCTTAAAACTGCTCTGAATTTGGATTGTGGCTGAATATTTGACACAGCATAGGTTTGTGACACAAATTGAATGTGGTCAAAGAACTGAAATATTTGAAAATGGACATTTACCTATTATGGTCCAATATCCAAAATCTAAGTACATTGTCAGAATCGGCATATCAAAGAACTCCAAAAATTCATTTTTTAATGAAATCAAACAAAAGTTTAATTTAGGACCCTTTGGACCACAATGTGGACCAATTTGATAAAGGAGCTCACAATCCAAAATCTCTCAATACATGGTAAGATTCAGGATTTCAAGGAACCACATAAATTCAATTTTTGTGAATCAAACAAAGTTTAATTTTGGACCCTGATTTGGACCAACTTGAAAACTGGGCCCAAAAATCTAATATTTAAATACAGGTTTAGATTCAGCATTTGAAAGAACCCTATATATATTTAATTTAAGTTGAAATGAAACACAATTTAATTTTATCCATATATTTTCTGTGCAAGGGAAATAACTCAAACATGATTATAATGAATAAAGCTTAAGTGATGACTTAGTTCTATAAAATTAGAAATGATGTAATTTTTCAAATTATAATCAATAATATAATAACAACAACCAGTGATGACTAAGTTCTCTTAAATTAGATATGATTTAACACTCAAACATTGTTAAAATCAGCATATCAAAGAACCCAAGAATTCAATTGTTGATTAAACAAAAGTTTAATTTAGGACCCTTAGTACCTGGATGTGGTATTATCTAACTAATAATGAAAATAAATACAGGTTTAGATTCAGCATTTCAAAGAACCCTATATATATTCAATTTATGTTGAAATCAAACACAGTTTAATTTTGGACCCTGATTTGGAGGAACTTGAAAACTGGGCCCAAAATCAGAAATCTAAATATATGTTTATTAATAGACAATATAAGCTAAGTTTTGAAAGGAGTTCACCTAATTAAAAAAATATATATAGCATTCAGAAAATTAGTTTTTACAGAATAACAAACAATTTACAATTTACCAAAGTAAAGAAAAAAAATCAAAAACTTTATTTATCATTAATACAATGTCTTTTAAAAATCTATAAAACTTATCTGTAATTATCTTCAAAATGTCTAATAATGAACAGTAAATTTCTAACTATATTTACTACTATATAGCTTTTAATCATCAACACTTAGAAAACAGAAAATTTTCAAATAAATCTGTCACTCAAGATAAGACATTAACCATATGTTTAGTAAACTGATTACAGGACATATAAACAGGTGAAAATTATCTATAAATGCTTAGTGTATTCAAACTTTATGTATATAATTAACAATTTCTGTTCAAAGGAAAATAACTCAATCACAAAAAAGACCCCAGGGGACTTGACTTTTATTTCATTTGATTTGTTTTATTGTAATATACAAGAAGAACCAGGGGACTCACCTTTTATTTCATTTGATTTGTTTTATTGTAACATACAAGAACATATATGGTTTCAGGGTGGGGATCTTGACCGTTTACAAGTTATCAAAAAGAAGGGGGGTGGTAGTTACCCCAATGGACTTCCCCTATATTTCATTTGATTTGTTTTATTGTCCCATAGGGAACGAAAATCAATTTTGGGACATACAGCATACGTACTTACAGACAGACAAGGGTAAAACTTAATGCCCCCTCAACTACAGCGCAGACATAAAAGTGTGCAAACTAAAGGACAAACAGACAAACAGACAGACACACAGCCTACCAAAAAACTTTCAAACAATTTACCAATGATATTTCGCCAATAACTCAAATTTATTTCCATGAACCAGTAACAAAACACCAAAATAATTCTCTAAAATTAGATATGACTTAACCACTCATAAATCTCTAAAATTAGATATGATTTTATATCTATCAATTAAACACATCACTTTTCAAAACAAATAACTCAAACTTATTTACATAAACCAATAAAAAACCAGCAAAATACTTCTCTAAAATCAGATATCATGTTATATCTATTTCCATATTATAATCAAATTTAATTAATAGTTGCTAATATTGTTTCTTTCATGTGTCAAAAAATAATACAGATCTGCAACTTATCTATCAATGTCAAAAACTTTATCTCATAATAAAAATAGATTATTATCTAATTAAAAACAACTTTAGATTCAGCACTTAAAGAACCCTATATATATTTAATTTATGTTCAAATATAACACACACAAACTGATTAATTTTCCCAGGGGACCTGCTCTTTATTTCATATGATTTGTTTTTTTGTCCCATACAAGGATATATATGGTTTAGGGGCGGGGATCTCAACCATTTACAAGTTCTTAAACAAGAAGAAGGTGGGAATGACCCAAGGAACTCACCTTTTATTACATTTCATTTGTTTTATTGTAACATACAAGAATATATATGGTTTCGCCGTGGGGATCTTGACCATTTACAAGTTTTCAAAAAAAAGGAGAGTAGGGGTTACCCCAGGGGACTTCCCCTAAATTTAATTTGCTTTAATTTATTGTCCCATACAAGTACATATATGGTTTAGGGGTGGGGATCTCAACCTTTTACAAGTTTTCAAAAAGAAGGGGATAGGGTTTACCCCAGTGGACTTCCCCTATATTTCATTTGATTTGATATATTGTCCCATACAAGAATATATATGGTTTCTGTGTGGGAATCTTGACCGTTTACAAGTTATCAAAAAAAGGGGGGTAGGCGTTACCCCAATGGACTTCCCCTATATTTCAATCAGAAAACAGTAAATTTTCAAATAAATCTGTCACTCCAATGATTATCATATGCTAAAATATTTCAAAGATCTAATTAATAATGAAAATAAATCATTATCATATGCTGAAATATTTATAATATCTAATTGAACAGAACTATTGTTGTTTAACATAGTACTCTAACATAATTAATAATGTAA